TAAGGTACTAAATCATCAATGCCTAAATAAAGACTTATTTACCATCATGCACTACTAGTACCTACCTACACGACTAACTACCTAAAAAGAAATCACCATAAAGTATCAAAACCTCCGTTATAAGAAGGTGTCATGGCCGCCGAGTCGTATTGGCTTTAGTCCTTCGTTCTTACCTTGATCCTGTGGCTATCTTCCCTGGTCTCCTTCACGGGGAGTGGCTTCAGGATCTTGGTCTCTCTCTCAGGGGAGACCACGGTGCCACTCGAGCAGTTCCCGGCCAGAGACTGCGCGGATACTTGGTTCGTGCCCAGTGCGGGCGAGCCAGGTCTCACGTTGGCTGTGTGTGCGTCGGTTTGCAATGTATTTCTGATATAACCTGCCCTGTCTCTTACTTTCCCAACTTGTGTGATTAATGTGGGTTTAACAAAGTTCTCTGTGTAACATTGATAGGATAGAATACTGTTATTTATTATGTAATGAGGTAACAAAAGTATTGTGTTGACTTAAAATTAAAGTTACCGATGTAATAAAAGATTTCTAATCGCTGACCACATCGTTGCAGACCTTCAAACAAAAATTACAAAAACAAACTGTCGATGCCGTTGCTACTAGACAAAAAGAAAAGAATAAACGTAGCTCTTTTTGTTAACGGATATAATTTTGAATTTTGGCGGTTTCATAGTTCATTTTGAATTGTAGTCTTTTAAGTCAAAGAAACTAAAATGTCGGAATTTCGTGTATATACATTAGTTTGTTCTGAATCTATTTATATGTCTGTTGCCAATCAATGCACGGATCCTATAATTTTGCAAGCGTGTCCCCATGGCCGCTACATGTATTGCCAATTGTGACAGCGTATTTACAGCGTTTGTCTTCTTCTTTTGTTGTTGTGATGCAATGACGTGATTAATTTATTTAGACAGTAGTAGATATAAGGAGCAAAAGTTAGAAAGGCGCCCAGAATCTATAATTGACATAATCACAGCTGAAATATTAGAGGAAATTTTAGATATAGGTAGGTGTTAAAAATCTGCAGTCCTATTAAATGTTCTATGCGGAAAATAATGCGATATTTCTTCGCATAGACCATGTTTAGTGCACAACCACCACTTACGCTTCTAAATAGGACAATTTTTTTCACGTCATCGCACCACAATATCTACGTATCAACAAAGTGCAAGTCTCACGATTGAACTTGTTGTTGCTGGTGTAGAGTTTGCCCAACAGGCCCAGCGGTGGACGCGGAGGTACCAGCATGATGCCCTCCCACCAGAACACCTCCTTGCACTGCAGCCTCCCGTTGCCATCGTCACCTGGTTCTAGGACGAAACTTAGAAGCTGGTCTTATGTTTTAGGAAGACCAAAAACTTACTGAATTGGTACACATTAAAAAATACAAAAATTTGTTTGTGTTGAAACTTAAAAATATTTTTTGGATCAGAAACTACCTTTCCAATTTAATGAACCCCCTAAATTTCACGGAAATGGATCCCGCAGCGTATTAGTATAGCAACGTGCTATTTACATATACTTAAACCAACAAAATCTGAAATCAATACCTGTATAAACCTGTCTATTGCCTAAAACCCTCTGTCTATTTATTGCCTAAAACCCTCTAAAATAAATTTAGTATAAAAATGTTAAAACCTATTTGTCTATTAGTCTGTTGCCATATTGGCTGTAGGTTTACAGTACGTACCTCTTCCGACGAGCCTAGTAAGTCTCTCAGGGAACATGAGTTGCGGCGGACGCATGGCGATGATCTCCCGGAACTGGTTGTAGAGCTCCATCACTGACGAGTCCATCGCCAAGCGCTCGTCCGGCACATGCTCGCGGAACTGACAGCCCTGGTACCAACAGCAATGGTATAACGTTCCTCTGATGTATCAAGGCTAGGAAGGCGTGGATCTACTAGTAGTCAGAGACTTGGAAGGCTTCGTGAACCAATTTCTTTAATTGAAGAGGAAAGAAGGAACTGATCACCGGATGATACGAGATCAGTGCCGCCCATGGACACCCGTGGAGTTACAGACCTGTTTTCGACTTTTTAAGAGCGAGTAGGACACTCGTTTCACGAAGGTATGAAGGTAGTATCGGTAACTGACTCTTGGATGCAGAGATGTTTGACAAGATATCATAACGAAGCGGGCAATACTCGCATTAGTCACGGCACAATTCAGAAAATCCTTAAAAGAAGTAGGTACACAGGTCTCCAAATTATTATAATTGTTATCTTTTTGATGCTCACTTACTGAATTTGATTTAGGGGACACCTACAGTAGGCAATGGGGCAAGATGATGTATAGGGTATATGTGATTATCAAGATTTATTATTCAAGAGATCAAGATTATCGTGAAAAATATGTATAATAGAGGATGAAACAAAAGAATTCAAAACTACATGGGGAGATCTACGTGGATTTTTATGGGATGGGTACTCACAGTATTCCTAGTGATGGTCTCGAACCGGTAGGCCCTCTCCCCGCAGCACGGGTACCGTCCAGCAGGCAGAGAGGGCCGGCCCTCCAGCGCAAACATATGCGGTGGCTGCTCGTGGTGGGAACACCATTCCATCTACAGCAATCAAGGCACAAAAATTCAAATAACCCAAGTTTACAGAGCCGATGGTCAAAAACATAAGTGTGGGAGAGCCATGCTTCGATGATGCACGAATGGATCGGCTCGACCGAAGTGATATGGCATCATAGAAAACCGACGTGAAAGAACCACAGCGTTGTATTCCGCTGTGTGAAGGAGGTTACTGGAGGCGCAATCCTACCCTTCCCCATCCGTCCCCAATCATTACATATCCGAAACCTTTATCCGGCACCGATTGCTTGCTATCAGGTAAACCGAAACCGAACTTAAGTAATCTGCTTCCAAAAACTTTTAAACACTTCTTCAAAACTTCTAAAAGGTTAGGGACAATCGCTATTGTGTTAATATGTCTTTTAATTATGTATCAAGTATAGGGTGTGGTACCTGATAAGCCGGGAAGAAGCTGTCACATAGCTGACAGCGTAAGAAGTGGCAGTCGGCCCAAAGCCTCCAGTACACGCGTCGCCAGGATCGGAGCTCCCCATATAGCCAGGTTATGTAGTCGTTTAGACACCACGACTGATCCCTGGACAGTTATGGGTACTTAGGTATAGTTCAAAATAACAAAACATATATCAGAAAAGTACCCTTCTACAATAACAGAACAAAAAAAAACATGTTCTTTCTATAACATAAATTCGTCAGCAAAGCAAGGAGTGTAGGGCCCTAGTCGGGCTTTTTTTATTCTTTAACCACCTGGCCAGGTACTAGGATAACAGCGATTGCAAGAACGTGCTTACTTGGAATGAGAAGACACGACGTTTCCCCGTCTATCAATCCGCATACTGGCGGGCTGACACGGAACCTGCTCGGCGATATGACGTCCTAGTAGCTTGTTGCATCTGGTCAACCAGAAAAAGATATGAACAGAGTGCATACGTAAGGCGAGAGAGAATGTCAGACTTACTGACTAAAACCCCCACCGGCAGGACCGGTGCCTCATTGCACCTACCCCGCAACCCCGGCTGAACATCATCCCTGTAAGGCCTCGTCTATGGTTGGCTTGCCAAAAACCGTCTACCCTGACATCGATTCAGTCAGTTAATTCGCTTTATTTCGGACTTGCAACCCAGCTTTGCACGGGTCCGTTACTAAATTTCTCCACTATTTATATTGGAAAGCCATCCTCTTCAATTACTCCATCAATTAAAAAAACGCATCAAAATCCGTTGCGAAGTTTTAAAGACTTAAGTATACTTACACAGGATATAGGAACAGAGAAAACTGTTGTATACTATGCAGTGATGCGACATTTAGAAAAATATCAAAGTAGCTATAATATACGTACTTGCTGCATTTAAAAAGTGTGGCGAGAGTGGAGTAATGACCTCTAAGGGTCTCCGGTACCGGCTCGGCTAGAGACAGGATCATTTTGCAATACAACCGCGATTGGATCTTGTCCTTGCGATCTCTTATGGCTTCCAATTCAGCGTTGGTGTACATTGCTGCTAGTCTAGATAGATAGAAAATTTTTCTTTTACTAGTTACTTATTCGAGCTTTACAAATCCGTCACAAATTAACAATGTACTTGGCTAAGTGTGGCAGAATCATGCTTCAGCACGAATGGGTCGGCTCGACCCGAATAATTGGCCTCACAGAAAACTATCGTGAAACCAACATAGCGTTGTGTTTCGCCGTCTGAGTAGAGATCCAATCCTTCAGCTGACCCCAATTGCAAAAATTCCTTTTACCCAAAAGATCGGCAATATACTAGCAATTCCACTGGTGTTCCATGGGCGGTGCCGATAGCGTCAGGTGTCGCATATACAAGGGGCCATTTGTTACAAATGTTATGTTGTTTTAAAATGTAGTTTATGTAGGAGACTGTGGGCTAAGACTAAATAATTAAAATTTTACCTGGTGAGCAGCGCGTCACTTAGACACGCTAAGTTCGTGGATGTCTTTACAATATCATTCATATGAGCGTGACAATAGATCAGGCAGTCGTGTAGTAGTGGCTCCATCTAGAACATACACTCATTTAGGTGTAACGATTTTTAAGTGTGTGCGCGTGTATGAGATACAGGATTTTATTTATTTATTTACCAACTATGGAACGCTTACAGCTATCGAAATCTATATAAAAGAAAGTCGTGTTAGTTACTCCACTACGGCTGAACCGATTTAGCTGAAAATTGGCAGGGAGGTACTTTAGAGCCAGGAGAAGGACATAGGATAGGACAGAGTAGGTAGAGTAGGGTTGATAGACTAGGGTAGGTAAAGTAGGGTAGGTAGAGTAGGGTAGGCAAAGTAGGGTAGGTAGTCAAATGACGGGAGCGACGCCGCGGGTAAGAGCTAGTAGAAGATAAAAACTGTGTGGCAATCTTTTAGCCAATGAAATGAAAAGTTAACTTGAGAAATGTACACTTTTTGTGGGGAAGAAATCATCAAATTACTTCTCTCAAAGGCGAGAGGATGATAATGAGGATGTAAGATTCTTACTGACTGAAAACCTCTCCGTGCCATCTCCTGTTCCAGGCCGATGCTGCTGTATTTTATTGCCCTTGCCCCGCTGTAGACTTGTGTAATCACCACAGCACTGACACACAAAAATGTATCTTAAAAAACAAATTTTTATTATTATAATTACCTGTAGAAATGACGCTGAGACCAGAATAGGGACCACGTTATGGGGATCAAGAAGAGGCCAGTCGGCTACCAGAATAGAGTCCCTTTTCACCCAACGCATTAACCAGTCGAAGATCTGAAATGAAATCGATTAATAACCAGAAAATAATAGAAAATATGACTTTTTCCCAGTAAAGTAATATATACCTACTTTCTAAGATTATTTAGACACTAATGACATACGGTGATGGAAAACATCGTGGGGAAACCTGGGCTTATAATTTCTCAATATAAGTTTGAAATAGCATATCCACTTTGAGCTAGCGTGGTGATTAATGCTCAAACCTTCTCCTTGTGAGGTGTGGCTTTGCTCAGCAGTGGGCACTTTATAGGCTGGTGATGATGACGATGATTTAAAAACTATTTTATGGGGCGGGTAATGTATTAGGAATATGGGAAATACCAAAAAAAAAAATTCGATGCCCGGCTCGTTTCTCTGATAAACTAAATAATAGTTTTTTTTTCATGCTACCTCATCATCTCTGTATTATATAGTATGGGCTTAAGTCCTTGGGGATAAAAAGGCGTTGTGTTATGGTGAGTGTAGTATTTCAATTACGTAGAGCTACAACTGATTGCTCTTCAAAAACTACTAGGAGCGAACCACCATATTAGTTGGCAAATATCTTGGCAAAGGTACTTAGTGAAAATAATGGATACATGTTATTGTCTAATGGATATATATTAATAAGTAATAAATTGTTTGTATACCTGTATATCACAATGTACAGAAATATCCATGTCTTCTAATCTCTGACCCGCTGTGACGTCAGCGAAATATCCCATTTTCGATATTAAGAGTTTTTGCGGGCACCGAAAATCTTTTTTGAGACCTTTTACTTCATCACAAACGTGAATTTCTACGTCTCCCCTGAAAAAAATATTATGAATACAGACAAAAAGATTTTCCGATACCGGGAATCGAACCCGAGCCTCCTGGGTGAGAGCCAGGTATCCTAGCCACTAGACCATATCGGATGTTGTTATAGGGATTGAAATAACTGTACTTATATTTTATCAAAAAAATAATTATTTATTTCTTGTAAATTTAAAAACCAATACATATATTTTTTTCGACAGCAAATTGAACTTATAATAACTTACTCTTGTTTTGTGTTATTACGTTCTTGTGCCATTGTCACTGAAGACTTGCGTCTTCCAAGTCGATCCCTTGATTCTTTTTCGTCAACGAAACCTTTTGTAACAAAATACAATTTAATCTATACCATTTTCAAAGTTTTTCTTTTCTCAAATTATTTTCTATTTACATATTTTATTTAGTTACTCTTTACTTATTCTTTTTACCTCCGAAACTAGCAGGTTTCTTTACATCAACGGTGGTTCCAGACGTCACTTTCTTTATAATTGGAGTGTAAACGCTAGTTGTTTTTGAAGGTTTCTTGTACCCAACTAGGTAAGGCAAAATAGAATCTAAAATCCCTTCATTCACTACCTGAAATTAAATTATTTTAAGCGCCATCTATAATGCATTTACTGAACTACTTAAGACAGATCATAAGTTAATTTGTTCATATCTGGATTTTTGATACTCACATCATTAAGTTTGCAGTTTAAATTAGCTTCAGTCCAAATACCTAGCATTTCAACCCTGGCTTCGGGGGGTAAAGACCGTCGGCGTCCTGATTAAGAAAGTGAAATAATTGTCAACGTTCTTAAAACTAGATGGCGCTAATTTAAATCTTTAAACAGCCAAAAATGTCACTTCCCTACTTGAGGAATTTATTATTATTAGTAATAGATTAACAGTTATTCCGTGGTAATTAAATTCAGAAGATTCATATAAATCATAATACACCAACACGGAACAACTAATTGAACAAGCAATAGACGCGAAGAACCGTGTCGGTGGTTTGATCGACACCGTTTCTTTAGGTGTATTAGCAGCCTTGAAATTAATATTGAAAAAATATATAGTAAATACCTTCTAGTTCACTGCAACTATATCTTTTCTCAAGCCGGTTCTCGCTATTCTTTGGTTCGATTGCACAATCGCTTTTACTGATTGATGGCTTTGCTTCAGCGTAAACAGTTTGGTAGAGAAGATCACGTTCTTGTTGCTCTATGACATGGTTGATTACAGTTAATTTCGTCAATTCTTCCCAATCTATCTTCGTTCCTTCATCATCATCACCCTCCAAGTGTTCGTATACTTGGTACGCTGTCTTCATGAAGTCAAAAAAGTCTTTAACGGTAATCGTTTCAGCGGCTTCATTGTTTTTGGTTGAGTTTCTTCGTGATGAAGGTTCTGATCTTGACGGACTACGATTCCTTGGTCCATCGCCCTTCTGCATGAACATTGAATCGGACTCAGGGCGTTGACTAGACATTTTTAAATCAGGTTCTACATAACACGAGAAATTTCATCTGCACACTTCGATTTATCGATCTAACAAGCCTCCTAGAAACGTAGTCTGATAAGGAAAAGATTTGTTACAAATGAAATACGATGTTGTTGCAATAGTAAAATTTGTATTGTAATATTTTCGTTTTTTATTGTTAAACGTAACACAATTTTTAATATAGTAATGATACATATGACTCAAAAATCTAATATTTCCAGTATGTATTTACAAAATCAAAAAAATCCGGACATAACCTATGTATTATTATTGGTTAAAATGACACATTTATTTTTTCAATCATACATATCTAGCGAGGAAGCAGTTACTATAAAGTTTGCATGTCACTTAATATTATTATCACCAAGTGCCGAACCTGCAAAATGTGTTTGTAGCTACGTCGATCATTCGTATTTTTTTTGCCTACAGACGGAAATGACCATGGTAGCTGTTTTGTTCATTGTCCTTAATGTAACATTTTACCATAGGTACCTACCGTACCTACGTGACATAGCAATCAGAGTTCATACCTACCCACGAATACATCTCATAATGAATTCATTAATGAATAATGATTTACATACAAACATGCTTAAATGGTCAGTAACCTTTAGCATTAATCGAATAATTAAATTCTAATGATCCAAGAAAAATATAATAAGTCTTGGTACAAAATATTGCATTATCGTAATCTATACCATAATACAATTTCAAAATTATTGTAATAGAGTGGTAGGTAGGTGTAGTAGGCAGTGGTAGAAAATATATTCCTTTTCTGGAATGTAATAAAAAGTCTGTGCAATCACACAATAAGTTTATAAATAAAAACCATAGACTAAAGTCATCTGTTCCAGATACTGACACGTTTTACTCACTTCGTTTACATGTTTGGCATACCAAGCAGTGGCGTACTACGGAGTGTTTTCTCGGTTTTTTCTTTCGACTTCAACCGCTTCGAAAAGGATAGCAATACTGTGCACGTCACAAGCTCAAGTAGAATAGTTATGTAGGTTGGAATGCAAATTGTTTGTGGTTAGTCTAGTGATATGTCATATCAACAACATTTTCACTGTAATATTTTGTTGTCCAACAAAGTTATTTAGAATGTTCACGGCTGTATTTTATTATGGACAGCTATCAACCCGAATATGACAAGAACGGAGTTTTGTCTGACACATTTTGGAAGACTCCACAGCGCGCGATCCCGGGCAGGCCTTTACAGACGGTCAAACGGACCGAGGTTATGTCTGGGTCATCGTATCAACAGTTTCAGGCGTCTGTGAACGACGCCTGGGACATGGGCGACGACGATATTATATCTGGAATCGCTGAAACTAAAATATCAAAGGCCATATCACAAACTGCTGCTTTGAACGTGATAAATTCGCATAGAAATAGTAGTAGGAACGTAAAGAAAAATGACGTAAAAGTTGAGAGTGAGATTGTGAAGCCGAAGGCTGAAGCGGTGGAAGTGAAGAAAAATGAAGTGCGGAAATTGGGTGCAGGGGGTTCGGGTCCCATGCGGCATTATCCTGGAAGGCCGAGGCCGGTGAGACTGTCAGCACTAACTTCTCGAGAGGAGAGCAGTGAATCCAAGTTAGAGAGGTTCCAGCAGATGCACGACAGCGCCGTCATAGACCTTAATGAACTCAAACAGATTAGTTGGTCTGGCATTCCAGTCAAAGTAAGTAACATTCATCACATTCATATTATATGACTCACAGAGCTTGTGTTTCATTGGTTGTGGCCACTCCTTGCGCCCTCACGCGACTATTGTTTGTTTGTAATATTACAAAAGCAAGAATTCTCTGTTGTTATTTAAGATGGCCAGATGTTTATGTTATCTTAAACACAATTAAACACTACTCTAATTAGATAAGACTTATATAGTACTAGGTAATGGAGCTAAAAAAACAATAACTAGTAATAGTTACAAATTCACAATTCATATGTTTTAAATATACATGTGTAAACATGACATGTAATGAGAATTTTCAAGGGAAACTGGTCACATAATTATGCAATTTTAAGTTTGAATGTAAACAATAGAGTAATTAGTTGTCATCTGTTTATCACTGGGTGGGTGATAATACTTATTATATCATTACCCTCAACTCTGAAAACTAAAACTAAAATTAGTAGTTTAAAAAATATTAAGTACCATGACTGTGTCTGTGCAATGCAGTAAAACAATTGGTGAAGATAATATTTCTTATATGCTTAACACCGTGGAAACATAATAGCTTGTTAAAATAAATATTCATTAAGAAATCACCAAGTAAATATGTGCAGAGGCTTGTACCAATTACTGATTTGGTTGTAGTACACTTTTTATATACGCCTTACAAAACGGCCCCCAGTTCCCGGTCGCCCTGCTATTCTTGGCCAAGTTGGCGGTCATAGTAACGGGTCAGTCATAGTGGCGGGTAGCGGGCTTAGAGCTGAACATCGAGCTCAGTGGCATGCAATTGAGGAGGCCTATGTCCAGCAGTGGACGACAACAGGCTGATGATGATGATGATGACACTTTTTATAACCACTTCCTTCGCAAGTCTGTAAGCATTCCATAAAATAAAAAAATCTGGATGATGCCACATACACACCCCCTATTGATTTATTTTACTCAGAGAACTGATTGTGTCCCTTTAAATATATGGCCAGACATTAACATGATATAAACACATTATATTCTTTATCATTAACAACTATGTAGCTTTTACCTATGACTTCTAGACATATTTAAGTTAGTGAATATTTTTATTTCTAGGGTAGCTTCCGTTTCTGTATGAATATCAAGCAATGTAAATAAATTTTGCCTATGGTGTTAGAATTTTACAAACATGCTTATTAGTATTGATGATTTGCAATGCTTATGCTTATTAACAAATAAATGCAAGATTATGTTTAGACTTCTCATATAAAAGACCGCACTAGGATTTTATCATGTTGTAGATGCATTACAAATTTATCTACTATATGAAGAGTGGGAAGAACAGGCTGCGGATTGCTTACAGACTCATTATAATCTGGGTCTAGCTTCTCCCGCACGGTTTCACTCGCTGCTTGGGTCCATTTGATTGTAGCATGATGTTTTATAGCCTATAGCTTTTGGGAACATTGTAACTATCAATAAGTGAAAGAATTTTGGGAATCTGACAAGTGGTTCCAAATATTACCCCCTTCATACAAACTTACAAATTTTACCTCTTTATAATATTAGTATCGATTGAAACCACAGCTATGGTGTCAATTACGTTCTCTTCCTCCTCTTAACCATTAAATTTCTCATTGAACATAATATCTCGCCTAAAATACTAGTAGAATAAAATGCTATAATATGTATAAGTACATTGAAGTGTGAGCATTAAAACTAAAAATATTTTCTTGTAATTTTCTATAAATTTAGTATGTTGTGTTTGATTGAGGTAACCGGGGCCCAATCCTTCCCCTCCCCCGATCCCTCCCAATCCCTAAATCTCTAAAACCCTCATCCCAAAATGGTTGGCAATGCACTCGTAACTCCTCCGTTGCGGTTTTCCATGGGCGGCGCTGATTGATTACCATGAGGTAATGCGTCTGCTCGTTTGCCGACCTATTAGATACATAAAAACAAAAAAAAAAACATGTAAATGAGAGGTTACTACACAAAAATTCTCAATATTTATTTTTCTTAGTCTTTAATTCAATTTTGTCGACTTTACTGCCAGTACACTAATTACATTACATTCTTAATCATGTTTCAAATGTGACTTATTATGACTGGCATTGTTTATGTGAGATACATTGTTTTAATAAAAAAAAACTAAGTGTGTCAATGCCATAGCTACTTAAGCACGCATTTATAAGATAACAAAATGTTAGAGGTTGTATCAAAAAAGTTCTACCTTGTATAGTGAGAAGCATAGATAATAACAATTTTTATTTCATAGACAAAGAATCCAGCAGTTTTAGTAGGTTGTTATAAATCCTATTATATTTGGGACCTTATTCTTATTGTAATTAGGTGTGAATCTCAAATAACAGCATGTTAGAAATATCTTCTCTTTTTGTTTAATAACTTTAAACAATCCTGTGTGAGTTCGGTCAATTAGACCGAACTCACACAGGATTGTGAACTTGAACCCTAATCTCCATCCTTCAAAATCCTTAACCCTCAAAAGGACGACAAAGCGCTTTTAACTCCTAGGGTAAACGCGCAGACGAATTACCTGATGGTAAGCAATCAGCGCCCTCCATGAACACCCGCAACAACATAGGAGTAACGAGTGCGTTGCCGACCTTTTGGCGATTAGGCATTAGCAGATTTAGGGATGGGGGGAGGGATTAGGTGAGGAGAAAGATTGGGCCTCAAGCAACCTCATTCACACGGCAAAACACAACGCTTTGGTTGTTTCACGCCGGTTTTCTGTGAGGCCGTGGTATCACTCCGGTCGATATATTTGTTTTCTCCATCACATTATATAATTCAGACTTGTTTTTTTTTTAATACGCACTACGTTTCGTAGCCACGCCAATGTTTACACTTCTTTACATAAAAGATAAATGACACATCAAATATGTAAAAACAAACAAGATCTTTAAATAAGTTTGCATATAATTAACATAGTAGTAGATAATTTAAAACTTAATTAATTTAACAAGTTTAGTTCTTTTAAGGAAAATATTCTTGCAGTTTATTATTTTATTTAAACTTGTAGCATTTTTTTTTAGATTACATCGGAAATGCTTGTTTTGTTATGTCTTTATGAACTTCATTTCACCTTGATTTAACATTTAATGTGTAAAAAATGTCACGATGTAAATAAATTAGGATTATTTTTTATTTTATTATATACATACATCATCTAATTCAGTACAATAACAAAATTATATAATAACTAATATAGCGACAGAAGTGCAAAGCTAATACTAAATTTCTCCACGATTTTATCATACATATAATTATAAACGTTCTTCTTCAATCACTCTATCTATTAAAAACAGAACCGCATCAAAATCCGTTGCGTAGTTTTAAAGATTTAAGCATACATAGAGGGATATAGGGACAGGGAAAGCGACTTTGTTTTTACTTAAAACTGATATTCAACCTCTTTTCTTCAGGCTAGAGCTATAACATGGCGGCTACTTGCTGGCTACTTGCCCCCTAACGCAGAGCGGCGAGCAGAAACCCTGGAGAGAAAGAGAGCGGACTATAAGCATCTAGTACGACAATACTACGATGCAGAGCGAGACGACGATACTTACAGACAGATTCATATAGATATACCTCGGATGAGCCCCCTTGTGGCTCTCTTCCAACAGATCACTGTGCAGGTTTGTTCATTTCTTTCTTATACGGCTCAAGAATTTGAGCTTACTTGACCTTTTTTTGTGAGGGGAAATTCATCGAATTACTTCTCTCGCTCAAGATAAGGCGAAAGAGGGTGTCAGACTCTTACTGACTAAACCCTCTCCCCCCCCCCCTTTCCTTCTGCTGCTCTAGGCCGAGGCCGCGGTACCTTATTGCCGTCCGGAAACCCGTGCAATTTACTTGACCCTAACGTCTCAATACCAGCTATTGTTTATAAAGTGGAATTGCTCATGATTTTATGCTTATTATCTAGATTTTTATGGCTATCTAACAACTGTAACTTCAAACCAATTTAAGCTTCATCAAGATTATGGGTGAAGAACCCATTAACACTTACTATTTACAAATTAGACACGACCGTCAAACAATAGCCTTTTTTAATGTAGGTCGTCAAACGAGCAGACGGATTACCTGATGGTAAGCAATCAGCGCCGCCCATAGACACCCGCAACAACAGAGGAGTTACGAGTGCGTTGCGGACCTTTTGGGGATTAGGGATTTGGAATTTTAGGAATTAGGGGAGGGGAAGGATCGGGCCTTCGGTAACCTCACTTACACGGCGAAACACAACACTGTGGTTGTTTCTCGCCGGTTTTCCGTGAGGCCGTGGTATTACTCCGGTCGAGCCGACCAATTTGTGCCGAAGCATGGCTCTCCCAAACTTACACTAAACGCCTGTTTTAGTGGAAGTCATTTGAAAATTTTCTGATTCTTACTGACTAAAAACAACTTCGTTAGATAATTCTCCTGCTTCCGGCCTAGGCCGTCGTACCTACATTATGGAACTTGACCCGGAGCCCCGGCTGAAATGTAGTAATAGCTATGAGGCATATTTGATTTATCAGACCGTGAAGTGGATAACAGACCTACATGTGCAAATCACAAATTGACCCCCATCTGAAATCAATTCTCTCTTAACATATCTTAAGGTGAGGTTTTCTGAACCATTTCTTAGCTTCCAACACTTTTCAAATTAAAATTTTATATTGCCCTAATTTCAGGTGATGTTTGAGCGAATCCTGTACATCTGGGCTATTAGACACCCAGCATCAGGCTACGTGCAAGGCATCAACGACCTGGTGACTCCATTTTTCATGGTCTTCCTGCAAGAGGCGGCCCCCGGCCAGGAGTTGGACAACTTTCCCCTGGACAAGTTGACTGAGGAACAGCGGGACATCATAGAAGCTGACTCCTTCTGGTGCCTCTCCAAGTTCCTGGACAGCATCCAGGATAATTACATATTTGCTCAACTTGGTATCCAATATAAGGTGAGATTTTCTTTTATTGATTACTAGCCACTCTCGCGCGGTTTTACCAGCTGCTCGACTCCATTTCATCGTAGCCTGATGTTTTATAGTCTGTAGCATTCAGGAACATTGTAGCTATATATCAGTGAAAGAATTTTGGCAATCCGACCAGCGGTTCCAAAGATTACCCCCTACATACAAACTTACAAATTTTACCTCTTTATAATATTAGTATAGACTTGTAATATTATGGTAGCTCACGGAAACGTCGATTGATTGATTTGGCCAATAGCAAAACAGACAGAATTTTGAGAGCCATGTTTTATTTTTCATAATTTCATCCCCATTTTCATCTTTGAGATAACATATGGGCCACGTTATTAGAAAAATTTGACTCCAACAGTTTTGTCTGCAGTGAAAGTCTTAAAAAATTTCTTCAGATATTCTTTCTCATGGATACGTCATGTCAATAGAGTATTTTATAACCAAAAAAAAAAAAGTTTGGTGTAAAACCTCGCTTACATTTTCATTAGGAAATCTACCAAAATTATAAACGCAAATGTTTATATCTATGGATGTTTTTAACTTTTTACGTAAAACTAGACATAATAGTTTAACCCTGGTTCCGTGGGCGAAGTCGCCGACAGAACCTAGTATATAAAATCACTCGGAATTATCATAGAAATCCAGGTCGTCCGTTACTAATCAGTTCAGTGATAAGCACTGATTACATTGACACAACGCTTAGCGTACTATCCGAATTATTTTGATACTATATAACTAAGGATTAGTCGGCTAATAAATTATTATCGCTAGTTTCCGTATCAATCAACCAATTTACGCAATTTACATATCAATAAGTACAAGTTTTTATGTGTATGAATCAAAATTAGACATATAAAAATATGATGATGATGAAGATCTATTATATTACTAGCTTTCGCCCGCGGCTTCGCCCTCTTGGTATATTGATCAAAAGTAGCCTATTTCCTATTCCGGAGTGTATCCTATGCCTGGGCCAAATTCCATGCAGATCAGTTCAGCCATTTTTGGCGTAATTAAGTAACACACATCAAGATATTATATTTGAACACACTGACAGCTTATAAAGCTGTTGCGTGCGTATTAACGGCGTTGGAGATACTGTCCAGTCTGTTTTTAAAAGAATTAACGAGAAAAAAATTTGTTAGGTATATTAAGACGTCTGGTGGGACAATATAAACTAAATAAATAGTTAAAATGATATCAGAGTTATGTGCGCTTGGAACAATTCTTTGTATTATTCATAAATTATTGTTCCGGGTACGGGCGTGATGTTTACGTGGAATTGTGTCTTTGTAAGCGAATAAAACCTGCGATACTAGACACAAACCAAGAGTGGATTAACATTAAAAACGAGAGAAAAAAGTTAAGAGAACATATGCTTTAAATCATCATATGTTCTCGGTATCAAGAGAGCTCGTAGACCCTCCGGTGCCATCATCAGAGCAGTTCAATAATATATTGTATTGTTGTCCATCCTATGCATAGTTGCGAAGTTCAAGAATATGAAATGCATGGAATTTATATTCTTAGATTTTATTACATAGTTTACACCTTGACGCAATAAAAGAAGTTGGGAATAGTGGTTGGCAAAACGGGACGCAGTATAGGTATCGTGGCTGTCTCATTGAAGGATAAAGCGTCAGTTTACTTTTATATCTTATAGTATCACTTTGGTCATCATGATCAGAGAGAAAAATAGAGCCTCCTACACCCGGTTTCTGAAAAGCTTGTCAATGCTAAAATTAACTAATCTCCTGTTAAATCTCTTGTCAAGTCATCTGATTGGTTGTTGATAATTCAGTCAACCAATCAGATAACTTGACAAGAGATTAAATTGATTTAAACATTGATCGGCCTTTCGGAAACCGGGTGTTATTGATTAAACACGAACTGTGTGTTTAAGTGTGGAAGAGCCATGCTTCGGCACGAATGGGTCGGCTCGACCGGAGTGATACCACGGCCTCACAGAAAAAAGGCGTGAAATTACCAAAAAGTTGTGTTTTGCCGTGTGAGTGAGGTTACCGGAGGCTCAATCCTTCCCCTACCCCAATCCGTTCCCTTTCCCAAAATCTCCAAATCCCTAATCCCCAAAGGTCGACAACGTACTCGTAACTCCGCCGTCGTTGCGGGTGTCCATGGGCGACGATGACTGCTTACCATCAGGTAATCCGTTTGCTCGTTTGCCGACCTATGACATAAAAACAGACTTTCTCCTGCTCTGAGCCAAACCTTGGTATGTCTTTGTGCTTAACTAACGCTGGTCCCAACGCAATCCAAACTTTATACAAGACTTCACCTCAATCGATAAAAAAACTGTTTCATTTAATTGCAACATTCCCCTTCACAAATAAACAGAAATTTATGTGAAATAAAAGCTTCGAAAAACACCACGATATGTAAAAAAAACAATTCTTTTTACAGACTTCTAACCAGAAATGTATTCCATAAGGAGATTACGTTTCTTCGAAATAAGTCGTTAAAGTATGTAGGTCCTGGTAAAACAGTTGGTACGTAAGCGAAGTTAATCGATAACTCGAGAATGCACAATGCTTGCAATCTGACCTCTCGTAATACGATCGACGAGATGGCGTCATATTGCCGATAACAAGAAGTAATAGACCAACGGTTAATCGTGCAGTGTTGTCAGAGCAAAATAGTTTAATGTGAATAAAAAAACTCTTTGCATATAAGTCAAGGAGCTAAAAAAAAATATTTGTGTTTTTTGAGATGGGTAAATCATCAAATACCTTATTCTACCTACGGGTCCCCACCCGTAGGTAGAACAGAGGATTGTCAGACTCTTACTGACTAAAAACCATCCCGTTTCTTCTCCTGCTTTGGGCCGGAGCCGCCGTACATTGTTGCCCTTACACATCCCCGTGAACGTCAAACAGTTTAGAGATATTTTTATGTATTTAGTCTCAAGTCTCAAGCCATGCAAACAAAACTTTACGTAGGTGGGCAGGTAGGTAGGTAATCGAGAAATGACGTGCTTTAAAGGCAAGGTTCCATTCTTTCTTCATATTAGTACATGCATACATACATTGCAAGTAAAATGAAAGATTTTAAATGTAGTAATAACTATCCCTACTTTTTGCTATTAGGAGATTAGCTACATATATGACAGGCAGAACACCAGAGCCCTCTGGTAAACTTGAACGCAGCCTACTTTCGCCGAAGGGTGTCTTCCCAAGTCAGGTCAGGCCCAAGTGAATGGGTTGCTTATGGATGGGTGTGCACAATCGAAGGTCGCATCATCGGTTACCATCACGCGTGATAGTGGACAAATGCATGCCGATTAAGATTTTTTTTTTAATATTCTTGCAAACTCTCTTATGTGGAGACATAGTTCGGCAGTGGACTACCACGGACTGCAGATGATAACAGAAACAACAAAAGGAAAAATCATCAAATGGCCCCAGCCGTCCTTGGTGAGGCGAAAGGCCATAAGGCAAAGCCATTTTATTCTAGTAACTCTTGCTGAGTCTTGCTTCGAGCCAGGCCGCTGTATGTCATTGCGCTTGACCTGCAACTCCGGCCGGGTATTGTAGACCCATCTGTGGTGGTCTGATGTCCGAATTGAACGGGACGAGACGTAAATAAATAAAACTTAAATACGTTTCGAAAAACCTGTAACTCTGACTCACTGTTTTTGTACTGATTAAAGTATAGCCATTCTGTCATATGCAAAAAATCCGAAAAGGAGTGATTGTGCGTTTTCCTCCCAACGACATCTTCTAGTTTATTTAATCGGGAGTTCCAAGATGGTTAACACAAATATAATAATTCTGCGGCAGATAATAATTCCTCGGGACGAAGTATATTTTTTTTATAGTACTTCATAACAAGAAACCATTTTTAGCCATCTTAGAAAGACCACAGACAAGGTACGACAAAACAGTGTTACCAATATTAAAATGACTCGATTCTCTAATTCGATTACAGCCAACATGGAGTATGACAATAAATAGCAGGTTGATGAAAAAATTCTTGTTAGCAGCGGCGTGACCTTATTGCGATTATAGTACACATTTTATAAGCTCAAAATAAATGTTTCATGTTGAAAAAAGTATTGAAGGTTCTCTCTTTTATTTTGTATGTTTCTAAACGCAATCACGTCACAGGAAAAGCTCTGAGAGTGAGACAAAGTTTATAAAAAAAAATTAGATCCTTAAATACACTTTTGAACGTCACACAAATATTTAAAGAACACACAATATCTAAGAAAAAATTAATACAATATCCACGTAAAAAAACTAACTCAGTGGCGTATCATAGGAGCGTCCACCATTAGACGAAAACGGACTTATGGTGATTTTGTATTTAAAAACACATTATTTATAATCCAAAATGTAAACGTCAAACAGTATCTTAGTTTGTTTTATCTAGTGGTCGATTAGTCGTAAAATTTCGACTTTGAAGCTTCGATACAAGTTCGGAAAATAGATGTCGTAGCACGTTAATTACGGTATTAGTTAGTAATTAGATAATAGTCTTGCCTTTTATAACAATTGTCATCATTATCATCAGCATGTAAGTGCTAAACAAAAGCACCTTCTCACAAGGAGAAGGTTAGAGCATCAATCACCAGGCTTGATCAACGAGAATTGATTTTAGATTTACCAGGTTTCCTTACAATATTCCTTCACCTTTTATGAGTAGTCTCTACATCTTCTTATATATAAAAATGGATCGCAAAATGTGTTGGTAAGCGCATAACTCAACAACGCCGGGACCAATTTTGTTAATTCTTTTTTTGTTGTGTTTGTTATTGTCAGGAGAAGGTTCTAATTTGGACCTTGTGAAGCGAGGGCGGGCCGGTAGTAATAAATAAAATTGCGAAAATGTTACATTTGTACTGTCCAAGCTTCCAACACCCTCAGGAATGAGGAGCAGGCGCCTTAACCTCCGGACCAATATGAAGTTTCTATAACAATAGAAATTAACAACTTCACTGGTATAATATTAATTAGAAA